ACACAGCACAGATCTCCGAGCACAACTTGCTGATCATGGGTGATTTTTGTTTTTCAGTGACATCCAGGGCTGGGGAGGTGACTCAGCGGGCTGGAGGGTCTGTTTTGCATGCAGGCATCATGGAGAGTGGGTTCTGGGCACTGATATAGGAGCAGCACTGAGTAGCCCAGGGGCACATGACCGCAGTACCCCACCCCCCCGGGAAAATTTAAAACCCGAAACCCATCCTCATGGTTTACAGCCAGACACGAGGATGATCTCTTTCCAAAGGTTCGGTGTGCCAGAGGCCACTCTCAGTGACACTTGGCCTGATGGGTCCTGCTTGGGGCTGACAGGGTATTAGGGCCCTGGGGTCACACAGGCCGGGCAGGGCTGGACAGGTGCTAGGGAAGGAGCTCAGAGCCTCCAGGATACCGGGCACATGCTCTATCCCTCTGCACTATCCCCCTGGCTCGGGACTTTTTCAGCTTAATCCTCGGAACTTTACCAGGTATGTTCTTTAGCCCCCTGGCAAAGCTGCGGTCAGCCATGCCCGGTCCCCCAGCTGGGCAGCAGCAGACAAACGCTAACGTTCTGTATCACTCGAAGAGACGCTGCTTGTCTGCGCGCCCCCCCAACCCATTTTCCCCCCCTGCCACCTGCCTTCCACGTAATTAAGTGATAATGAATTCACTTCCCATTTTTATTATCTATCAGAGCCATATGTAGCTGTCAATCAGGGCGTCTGTTCAGCGGGAGCGAGGGCTCTTGGGCTGGGTCCCTGCAGCTCTGGCCCAAAGCAAGAGGGCTGGTGCCAGCCTGTAGGTCCGGGCAGCTCCAAAGCGGGGAGGTGGGGGCAGCCGGCAGCTTCCTGGTGCCCCTTCCTTGTCAGGCCAGATGCCCACCACGAGGGCTGGGAAAGCCAGTGTGGGCAAGCTACTTCCTTTCTTGGAAGCAACAGGACAGGGAGCAGGGCACTTGCCTTGCACCTGGCCAACCCGGGTTCAATTCCTGGCATCAATGTGGCCCCCCCCAGGCCTGCCAGGGAATGATTCCTGAGCACAGAGCCAGGAGTAAGTAAGCCCTGAGCACTCCAAAACAAATGAAAGAAGTTCTTGCTCTGAGCCCCAATACTGGGTTCTTAAGCGCCCGGAGGGCACCCTGTGGGGTGGATGCTGCTGTCCCTGTCCTCGGGGTGCTGGGAGGGCAAGCCTGCCTCCCGGGAAGTACCTGGCGCAGAGTCAGGGGGGCGGGGAAGTGTGAGCAGCAGGGCTGGAGCGACACCTGGGGTGGGCAGGAGGGAGGAGGCTGCCTCACAGAGGCTGACACAAGGGGTCAGGAGATGGCGCCTGGGGGCAGGGCCGGGAACTAGGCCAGCGGACAGCTTCCTCGGATTCCTCAGCAGTTCCGGGATCACGCGCCTTTGCCAGGGCTCACCTTACAAGGACCTATGCCACCCGCCCCCAGCCCCCTCCACCCCCTCCCCTTGCTGGGCTGTCAGTCTAGTGCTGGGCCCCCAGGAGGCTCTCTAGAGCTCTGCGTTCCCCTCTAGCCTGAGGAGTCCAGAGACTCCTGGACGGGGAGCGGGGCCGGGCACAGCCAGAGGCTGCACACGAGGGTCATAGAGAGCAGGTATGGCAGTGGACACTGCCTCTCTGGGTTTGCAGGTCCCACGCGGGACCTTCCCGTCCCCTGGCCATCACCTCCCTCATCCCCAGTGCCATGCCCAGCCACTGAAGACCACCCTGGGGCCTCGAGCAGGTCATGCCATTTTTCTGGATCTTTGTTCCCTCTTCTTTGAAATGGGGCTGAGGGCTGGAGCCCACCCTGAGACTTCTCTCAGCCGGAAATTACCCTGACTGTCCACGGATGGCCAGTGGGGGTGGAAATTGGCATCTTCCCTCTGTCCTGTTTTCCACTGCCACTGACCACCCATGAGTAGTCAAACACACAAGGGAAGGAGTACCATCTAGAAGGGGGACAGGAAGGAACCCCCGTGGAAATAAAGTCCTCCTTGGGTCGCTTTTGGGAATCATCAGAGACAGCGTGCTCCTTTTACAGATGGGCAGACTGAGGCCCAGGGGGCACAGACAGGCCAGGTCACTGTGGAAAGAGTCTGGACAAGCTCAGGCTTCCGGATCCCAGTTACTGCTCCCATCGCCTGTCCTGGGCTGGGGGTGGGTCCTTCCCAGGAGGTCAGCCGGGGCTGCTAGGGAGGAAGGGGCTCACCAGAGCGCTGACCCCAGCATCCTGGCTGTGTGCCGCAGCCCCTGCTGGGGCCCAGGAGGCTGCCGCCCCACTTGGGCCGCGGCAGCAGAACGGGGTTTTGTCCTCCCTGAGAGCGTGTCTGTTGGCTGTTCACAGCCCGGACGCGCTGGCACAGAGAAGTCTTGTTTCCTTGAATACAAAATCTGCAGCCTTCCCTCCTTGCCAGGGCCCCGGCGGGCTGCACTTCCTTCCCTAGAGGACCAGCGCCCTGGCCCCTTCCTGCCGCCCTCGCCACTCCTAAAACCGCAGCAAACAGCCAGGACCAAGAGGAGGCTTGCAGGGGTCCGGCTCCCCCCAAGCCATCATCAGAGGCCTCCCTCATCACACATGTACTCCCCCTCCCCTGCCCCCCAAACAGCCTCTCTGAAAGCAAGCTTGGCTCTGAAAACGCAGCTGGAAGCTCGTTCCCCTCATCACATACACATTCCTGCCATCCATGCCACGGGCTCCTCAATCCCTTGCTCATCAGGGGTGTTTGGATTCTCCCCAAAATATCTCCATCATTTGTGTGTGTGTGTGTGTGTGTGTGTGTGTGTGTGTGTGTGTGTGTATGCGGGGTGGGCAGCGATGCTCTGTGAGCCCAAGAGGAGGGCGGCTCTGGGGAAAAGAGGAGACGGGCTGGCAGCGGGGGCAGGAGGCAGGGCCAGGAGCAGGAAGCCGAGCCGGGAGGGGGTGCGTTTCCCACGGGCAAGCAGGTGTCTGTGGCGGGACAGCCAGAAGGGCGGCAAGAACACGGGTTCTGCAGTCCCAGGGCTGGGTTCAAATCCCCGTGGCATCGTTTTCTGGCTGTGTGGTCTTGGCACGCTCCTTAACTTCCCTGTGCCCAGACTCCCCCAACTGCACCATGGTGATGGTTCTGTGCCCGGGGTTGTGGGGAGGACGCCCTGTACTACTGATCCTGGGATCTCTGTGACGGCAGCATCCGCTCGCTGGCACTGCCCCTCCCCCTGGGCTCCGGCCCCAAAGGCGCAGAATGTGAAGCTGCACCCCGCGGAGTGTTCAGCCCACTGTGTTCAGTTTCTCGGACACCCTGGGAGGGCTACTCCTAGGCTGGGTAGAAACTTTAGGGCTTCCAACCAACACCCTGGAATCAAGGGTCGACTCCTCCCTCCAGCCTGAGGATGTCCATGCAGACCTCCGAGGTGCGGACAGACAAGGGCTCAGCTCCTCCCGGGCTGACCTGGCACTCCCGGGAGGGAACCAAACACCTCTCCTCCTGTCTTAGGGCTAAATGAAGAAGTCAGCCTGGAGAAGTTGAAAAGAGCCTTTCTCGAGCTGTGGGTCTGCAAACCTCCCCAAGCTTTCTGCTAGGGCAGGGTCAGCCACATGCAGCTGAGGCTTTGAGCTGTGAGCTCGAACCCCAGCCAAAGGGATTCAGCAGCATCCCTGCTCTCCTGGGGGGCGGCGGGACTCCCGAACTCCCCCACTGGAGAGCCCGGCCTCTCACCTTCAGAACACCTCTATGCACTGTCCCCCAACCAGACCCCAGGCAGTTCCCACCTCGGGAACCTGATCTGAGCAAGTGGATGAACATCAGGACGTGGGAACAGGCACTGAAGGGAGGGGGTCTTTGTTCGTGACCACAAACCTGGCTGCCCAGCCGCCAGGACCTGGAGATACGGACCTGGGGCTTGGTCTAACATCTCCATACAGACACTAAGAGTTTGTTTATTTTTTGGGGAGGGGGAATGTAGGGGAAGTGTTGAGCTGATGGCATGGGGGACAGGCCTGTGTTGAGGGCACAGCATTGAGGATTGTACGGAGTGAGAGCATGAGGGCAATCATGGGAGGTGTGGGGCATGGGGGAGCCCTATGTGAGGACGGAAGGAAGATATGGGGTGGAGGGGCCCCCAAGTGGGGCGGGAAGGGGGCTTCCAAGGAAAGCAGGGGACACTGACTGCCCAGCTGAGTACAGGCAGGGGCCAGTGGGCAACAGGAACAAGGGGGAGGAGAAGATTCAGCCCCCAACAGATAATTTCGTGGCGCAGAGCGGTACAGAGGGTGAAGGGGCCCTTCCTGGGGAGACCGCATGGGTTAAGGATGGGGGGCTCGGCAGAGGAGGGGATGGGGCTGGTCACAGTTTGCTTGAATAACAGGCGGGAGGTGGGGTGGGGGTGTCTGCGCAGAGTACATGAGAAGGCTCCCCGAAAGGAAGTCTTGGGGTGGAGGGAATGGTCACCTCTGTGGAGGGCCTGGGAGTGGAGTGTTTTTGACCCGCGTGGGGGTGGGGTAGGGGGAATTTGGATAGCTGCGCGCGTGTATGGGGGGGGAGGTGGTGTGGCGGGACCCGAGGCCATGAGGTCCTGCGTCGTGCAGTTGGCGGGTGTGGGGGGAGGGGTGTGTGTGTGTTGGGGGGGGGGGGAGGAAAGCGTCACTAACAGGGCAGGGGTCCTAGGCCAGAGACCCAGTGTCCAGACCCATAGGGATCGTGGCAGTGGGGAACGGAGGAGCACCTGGGGGTGGGTTCTCGGGATCATCCGGAAGGAGACGCGGGGTCTCCGGGGCGCCAGCGCGCACCTCCCGCGTCCCGAGGGTCCCATCGCCCAGAGCCGGGGTGGCGTGGCCGTCTGCAGACGCAGCAGCAGCAGCAGCAGCGCGGCTGTGAGTTGGAGGGGGGCGTCCCGGAGCCAGAGGCGCCCCATCCCTGATGTCGCAGAGGTCCCAAGCCTGGGGGCGGGGGTGGTGGGGGGGGCGGCGGCGAGCGCGGGCTCGGCGTTAGCGGGGTGGGGAGGGGGGGGGCGGTGGACACTCACTCCTTGAACATCTTCTCCATGTCCTTGATCTGCTTCCTGGAGAACTCCTTGAACTCGGTGTAGGGGTTGAAGACGCGCCGGCTGGGCGACTGGGGCTCGCCGATGCCCTGGTTGAGGTCGGCGCGCCGCAGCAGCTTGGCGCTCAGCTCGTCGTCCGCGCTGCCCAGCGCCTCGGCCGCCGCCTCCTCGGCCGCCGGCCCCGCCGCCGCCGCCGCCGCCCCGTTGAGCCCGGGCTGCGGCGGCGCGGGGGCCTCGCCCTCCATCTGCAGCCGGCGACTCAGCTTGCTGGCCAGCTCGTCCGTGGCCATGGTGGCGGCCCGCGCGGCGCTCGCCTGCGCCCGGCCCCCGCTCGCCGCCCCCCCGCGCGCCCGCGCCGCCGCCGGTGCCGCGCTCGGCCGCGCTCCTTCCTCTTCCTGACACTCCCCGGGCCGGCGCCGCCCCCGAAGGTGGGACTCGCCGCCCCCCGCGCCCCGCCCCCGCCCCGCCCCGCCCTCGCCCCGCCCCGCCCCGCGCGCGCCGCGCCCGGGGGGCCGGGATGGGGGGCCGGGGTGGGGGACCCCTCGAGCGCGCGCGCGCGCGCACTTCCACACGCCCGCGTCATTGTTGGGAGCCGAGTGGGAGCTAGTCGGGGCTGGGGGGCGTCGAGGGAGAGGGGCTCCTCCCCCCCTGCAGTTTGGGGGTGGGCCGGGGGGGTGTATGTGTGTGGGAAACCCGGCGCGGGGGTGATGGTGTGTGTGTGGGGGGGGAACACCGCCCCCAACCCCTTCTATGGAACCCCTACGCGGCGAAACGGTCGAGCAGGGGGCCTACTAGGACACCTCCTCGGTTGCCATGGAGACGGCTCGGCTCATCCCGGGCTTGCAGGGGTCTGCAGCAGGTGGACCTGGTGGGCTGGAGGCACCCCCCGTTTAGATGAAACCGTGCCTGGAGCGGTTGGCACCTTTTGGGGGAAAGAGTCGCAGGGGCTGGGATCCAACCCTGAGAAGTCCAGCCCCCTCGGTGGGAGCCCGCTAAAAGGGGAAGGGTCTGGTCCCTGACCGCAGCGGCAGTGCCATCGCGCGGGGGACGTGGAAGACAGCTGCACCCTGACTGTCGCCTGGGACCCCCCTTCTAGGGAGCCGGTGGGGAGATTTAGTGTTGCACGTTGGGAGGTGAGTAGAAGGGAGCTCTCCGTACAAAGTCTTGGGGGCTGGTGCCGGCTTTGGGTAAAGGGGAAGAGATTCCTCTCCTGTTCTTTCACCTCACATTTTTCTTTTATTTTGGGTTTTGGGGCCACACCCGGTGGTGCTCAGGGCCTCCTCCTGGCTCTGTGGTCAGGGGTCACTCCTGCAGGTGTGCAGGGAACCATCCATGACCCTGGGGGATCTAACAGGGCCTGCCTCAGGCAAAGTGAGTGCCTGAAACCCGATCCTATCTCCCAGACCTCTGGTCAGTCACCTTCAAACCGAAAAGCGAAAAGCGGTGGACCTCCTATCTGGAGCTGGGGGTTAGTTAATGATACAGGTCTTTGGGCTCCAATCCAAAGACTGACTGAATCTGCAAGGTTGTGAGGGGGTGTTTCTGAGCTCTGAAGGCTGAGAATCACTGATCTAGGACTGTGCTTTATTGGGAAGGGGTTGGGCATATTCTCTAAACTATTAGGGGGCAATGTTGAAGAAATTGCTTAGACATTTCTAACCCTATTGCTTAGGGTTAGAAATTGCTCCCATCAGGGACTTGGAACACTTGTACAGTGGGGAGGGTGCTTGTCTTATAGGAGGCCAAACTGGGGTTCGTTCCACAGCATCGCACATGGTCCCCAGAGCACTGATAAGAGTGATTCCTCATGCAGAGCCAGTAGTGACCACTGAGCATCCTCACTGTGGCCCAAAAACAAATTAAAAAAATAATTACTTCCATCAGTCTGCAGGGAGACGATGAAAGCAGGGCTTTGAGATCAGGGCTCGGCAGTTGGACAACAATTGTAAAACCAGCAAACGCATAAAGCAAATTGCATAGAGCAGACCCTTGATTGATGTTTCTCTGCCATAATTTAAGAATATCGCTGCCTTAATTTAAAAGGTATTTATGAATGTGGGGCTGGAGTACAGCAGTAGAGTGCTTGCCTTATACGTGGCTGACGAGAGTTTTATCCCTGGCATCTCATATGTGAGTGATTCCTGAGTGCAGAGCCAGGAGGAATCCTTGTGCAGTGCTGGTTGTGGCCCCCAAACCAAAATGGCATTTACGGTCAAATGAAATCGGGGAAAAAAACATCAGGGCGGGGAAAATGAAAGTTTTTATGGACTTATTTGTGAGACTTCTTCTGAGTCTAATAAGGGACATTTAAATGGCAGTTTTGTTTTTCAAAGCTCTGAGTAAATTTTCAGATGGACTTGGGTGGTTTGACCTAACTTGTACAGACAGGTTTTTTGAGTTCCCAAGTGGCCTTGCCAGATCTATCACAAGTACAATAGTGTGTGTGTGTGTGTGTGTGTGTGTGTGTGTGTTTTAATTAAATGCAAGAGTAGGGATAGGGTGTAGATAAAAACACTTAAAATGCCTGTGGAGACTTGGGTTTGCCAATTAGACTTCCTTACAATGCAGCTATTACTTCCAAAGATCTGGAAAACATCAACTTGTCCTAGCCTATGATTGACAAGGCTCTCCATGAAACAGGTCTGCCTTTAGGATGAAATATTTTGTGTCTGCTTGATGTGGGAGCAAACTTTTCACTGTGAAGAGATTATGTGAGGGTTTGCCTTCTTAAAAAACTATCGTAGGGGCTTCAGAGAGAGCACATGGGTTAAGCCTCTTGCCTTGCGTGTAGCTGACCCTGGCCCACCTATGGTCCCTCAAGAATGACCTGAGCACTATGCTCAAGGCTGTTTTCCACAAGCTCGGACAAGCCTCACCCACGAGGGAACCTGCAGAAAAAGTCAGGTATGCAGGACCTATGACTGAAATCTCCAAGCTTGCTCTGAGTGGGACTGGGCCTCCTTCCCCCAGCTCCCAAGATTTCTAGTAGCTTGGCAGTCACACCCACAAACTGCCCCTGGCACCTTATACTCTCATCAATGACCAAGATCCAGAGACTCTGAAATAAAGCTCTCAGAAGACAGTGACATAGATCTTACCCACAAGTGAATCTGCTCTATAATCATATTCTAAATTTTATATATTATTCAGAATTCCTGGAACATGCGACCACGCGAGCTCTCATACTCTACCCCACTGATGTACCAAAAGTAGCACACATTTTTGGGGTTTAACAAACATGTTTGTAATCTCTGATACAAGGGCTTCATGGCTCCAGGATGAAATCCAACAATCTTCACACACTTTCCTCTTCACACATTGGGAAGGTGCAATGGTGGTGGGATTGGTGTTTAAATATTAAATGTAATGAATCTTTGTGAACAACTTTATAAAAAAAAAAAGAATGACCTGAGCACAAGCCAGGAGTAATTCCTAGCACCATCAAGGGTGGCCCCAAAACAAAATGAAAAGTTATATATATATACATATATATACACAAACACACACACACACACACACACACACACACACACACATATATATACAGGCTGGAGCGATAGCACAGTGGTTAGGGCGTTTGCATGCAGCCAACATGGCTAACCCGAGTTCGATTTCTCTGCCCCTCTCAGAGAACCCGGCAAGCTACCAAGAGTATCTCGCCCCCACGGCAAAGCCTGGCAAGCTACCCATGACGTATTTGATATGCCAAACACAGTAACAACCAAGTTGCACAATGGAGATGTTACTGGGCCCGCTCGATCAAATCAATGAACAACAGGAGGACAATGACAATGATATATGTGTGTGTGGTGTGTGTGTGTGTGTGTGTGTAGTGAAAAACCTGGGGTTGTATTTGAAGTATTCACACAGGCTGTATGTGTTAAGCTTCCTGGTAGTCAGCCACTTGGTCTGTGCGGATACAAACCAACCCTAAGGAGAAAGGGCAGCCTTGCAGGACGCAGAGTTGGGGGGATTCCTGACCATCACTCAGGGCATTTTGTGGAAGGGGGAAGAGCACAACCCCGAAGCCTTGTTGGTCTCACTCTGGGCAGAGCCTGTGAAAGATATTCTGTCCCCATGACCTGCTCGTGAGCCCCTTTAACACTGCTTGCGTGGGTTTTGGCACTGGTTCCCAGGTTTTGAGAATTCCACGAACCAGGCTCCAAGCTGAGCTTTCATTCCCATTTGGAAGTCATGGGCCTTGCCTGTGCGTACAACTTTTCTTTTCCCTCTTTTTGAGTCACACCCGCTGTTGCACAGAGGTTACTCCTGGCTCATGTACTCAAGAATTACTCCTGGCGGTGTTCAGGGACCATATGGGATGATAGGAATAGAACCCGGGTTGGCCGCGTGCAAGGCAAATGCCCTACCCGCTGTTGTGCTATGGCTCCAGCCCCGCGTACAACCTTTGACTGACTCTAAAGTCAGAGCTGTGTGCTGGCGCTGCCTTTCATTTAGACTCTTTCTTCTTGTTTACTTCTCTTTGGTATTTGAACTGCATCTAACAGTGCTCAGGGATTAATCCTCACTCCTTTCTTGGGGCCTGAGTGTGGGGTGAGGTGGACCACTCTCAGTGGCACTCAGGGAAACACGGGGTGCCGGGGATGGAATTCGGGGCTCCCCCACACTTAAAAGCCTGCACTCCAGCCCTTGGATCTGTCTCTCTGACCTGATTTAGACTTCTTCCTTTTGAGGTCATTGAACTTCCGGAAAAGAACTTACTGGAAAAGCAAAGAAAGGAGCAAAAGAAGATAAGGTAGCGTTAACGAAGGAGCTCAGGCAGATCCCGAAGCTTCCAGGAACTCTCCGCTACCAGATCCTTTGAGGAAATCACTTCAGAATGACCCTGAGTGCTGGGCCCCAAGCAGAAAGAAATGGTCCAGTCTGGTGACACATTACAGCATTATTTGGTCATGTGGAAAGAATGATCTTCAGGAAAAAATCACACCCTCAGCAAAGGGTTTTAACAGAGGCAGGGGCGAGTGAGAGCCAATTCTGACAATATTCCAGGGCGATTCTGGAGCTCGACAGACTTAGTCATCACCAACTTATGTTTTTTTTCTTCCTCCCACATCAACTTGTGTAACTGTCTTTGGGGAGGGGTAAAGTAATATTAAGAAAAACAAGAGCATTTTGAAGAATGGGAGAGATGGGGAGAGGTTGAGGGGAAAAGCTTTCTGGTAAGGGGGCACAGGGAATGAAGGCGGAGGGACATTCCACAGCCTGAGGGAACACGTGAGGGAGAGGTCCTTCCAATCTGAGATGTTGGGGAAAGTCATTGGTGATAAAGTTGGCTAGTAAACCTCATCCCTCACTCAGCACTTTCACAAACATCCTCGCTCATTAATCACTGCACATACG